GAAGCTGCACAAAACACCTTACAAATAGATTTATTTCGTCTTAGTGCAAATTCTGGTTATGACAAAAGACAAACAAAAAAAATGAATGTCCTATACTGATTTGGGCTGTAAAAACTCAATGTCCTATGACTTGCATGCAGAATAAAAGTATGTGGCCTATTACACTACAAACCACTAAGTCTGAAAAGCCCATATTTTGACTGGTCGACCACAGATTTGACATGATTCGACATAATCTCGATTTTACTCAAATTTAATCTCGACTTTACTTAATAAGTCTGATTGAGTGCTTGATAATCCTGGTATACTCTAAATATGATGTCAACAAATTGCTGACCAGTCTTGACTCAGTCTGGACCAGTCTCGGCCAGAATCAACCTGTCTTGACCTATTAATTGACTGTCTGAATCAGCCCATCTATCTCAGTTTGGTAGTTTGGTTCATTGCTGTCAAATTTTAGGATTTGCTTAATAGGTCAAAAAGGCTAGAAGTTTCAGTTCAGACTAAATTCAGATACTTGTAATCACCTTTAAAAATTTCTATAAATTTTTCAAATCAACTTGGATTTTCATATAACTCTACAGCAATCTCAATTATATATTGATCTTACATAATGCCAGGTTGTTTGGTAGTTTGGTTTATTGCTGTCAAATTTAAGGATTTAATTAATAGGTAAAAAAAGCTTAAATTTTCAGTTTGGACAAAATTCAGATAGTTACTTTTAAAAATGTCTATAACTTTTTCAAATCAACTTGAATTTTTATATAACTCTGCAACTATTTCAACTACATATTGATCTTACAGAATGGCAGGTTGTGTGGTAGTTTGGTTTATTTGTGTCAAGTTAATGGATTTAATTAATAGGTAAACAAAGCTATAATTTTCAGTTAAGGCTAAATTCAGATAGTCACCTTTAAAAATTTGTATAACTTTTCCAAATCAACTTGGATTTTCATAACACTCTACAGCTATCTCAATTGTATATTGATCTTACAAAATGCCAGGTTATTTGGTAGTTTGGTTTATTTCTGACAAATTCTATGATTAAATTAGAAGGTAAAAAAGGCTACAATTTTCAGTTTTGACTCATCATAGTCAAAAACATAATATGTCTGCTTTTTCTTTAAAAAGACCAAAATTGCTTTCTTGAAAACTAGAACAGATAAAGTAACATTGTATATTTAAAATATATACATGCTCTGTTATTAAGACAATAATTGTTAATTCAGCATATGATAATATGCTTACTAGTATATGAGTTATTGTCCCTTAATGTCAAATTTTGCCTTAATTCTAAATCAATAGGGTATTTTGAAAATTGTATACATGTACATGTATATTAAAGGTAGATAACCAATGTAAATTGCAAATATACAGTATTTTTTCAAGTTAAGATCTCTACAATTGTGACAATCATAAAAAATATCAGGGAAATTAGATGACAGGTCAAAAAGTTATTGCCCCTGAATTGTCAAAATCTATAAAGATACTAAGATAATCATGTTTTATATAAAAAAAAAGTTCAAATTCATAGAGAAAAAGTTTTCCTCATTTAATTTGTCCATTTGATGATTATTTCTTGCTTTTATTGTCCATTTTTAATTTGTCTGTAAATTGTTAAAAATGAGTTAATTCATATGAATATGAAAATATCGTGTATGTCCATGATAATATATCAAAGATGATGATTTAAGCCAAAAAATAAAGAGCCAATATGTTATACTTGATCATTAATAAAATTTGACAATCAATCAATTACTACAGTAAATATCATTTAAGTGCGTTACCTATTATAAAACATGTATACTGAGAAAAAAAGTTTAGCAGCATATATTTTTAATTCAATATATTTTAACAAACAAACTTTACTTTTAAATATAACAAATATGTTAGTTTATATTGTGTTTTGTTATAATCTAAACTATTTTATTGATTGCACAAATGTTTTGTTTGGATATTTGGATATTTAGTATTTTTTTTTGTTTTTTTGTTTTTTGTTTGATAGCAATAGTTTGAATAATTAAATCTTCATGTCCTATGGTCACCAAAGGTGAAAAAAATGGAGACGCTATGCCTGAAGTGGATGAAAAATGTGTTTTGTCCTACTATGGTTTGCACCGGTCCCACCTGCCTAATAAATATTGCACGGTCCCTTATTAAATGGTCATTTAAAAGCCTGTTGTTCAGTGGTTGTCGTTTGTTGGTGTGGTTAATATGTGTTTCTCGTTTTCGTTTTTTATATAGATTAAACCGTTAGTTTTCCTGTTTGAATTGTTTTACACAAGCTTTTTGGTGCCCTTTATAGCTTGCTGTTCGGTGTGAGCTAAGGCTCCGTGTTGAAGGCCGTACTTTGACCTATAATTGTTTACTTTTTACACATTGTGACTTGGATGGATAGTTTTCATATATAGGTGCGAGACTGCAATTGGAAGTAGGTAGACTTCAAGTCGAACATTTTATTACAACCCAATCTATTTCATATCTTGCTAGACTAAATACTGATCATTTAAACCCACCATTGAAAGGGTTTTTTGGTAAAAAGGTGTTTCGCTCTGATCTTCTATCAATTCAAAACAGTTGACCTTGAAGTTTCAGAGAAAACTTTTGGAATTCGACCAATTAGAATCAAAGTTTGTCTCTAGTCGCCATGTCTTTTTTTATCCGATTGTCACGAAATGCGTATATTTATATAGAATCTTCAATAAATGATTCCTGTGGAGTTTGTTTTAACTTGACCTGGTATTTTAATACATGTATATACGTTATAAAAATCTTATCTTTCGACGAATGGATGGACGGACGACGGATGTAAAGTGATGACTATTGCTCAGACGGCCTTGTTGTCCATGTAATTATTTTAATAAATAATAATAGTTCATTTTCATCCCAACGTAAGACTAATTAAAACAGTTCTACACATCCAGCATTTCATGGTAACAAATTTTAGAACAAGTTTAGGAATAGTTCTTAATTTTTTAATTTGTAGGAGGGAAGTAAACTAAGGACTTATTAATAAAATGTACTATACTTTAATGTTGATCAATCATTGCGTCTGCATCAAATATTCGATTTCTACATTGAAATTATGACCTGTTTGTTCTAGTCAAAGTCAAAAACATGGTTTATGCTGTTAAAGTTGTCTATGGAGTACAAGGTACAGCCACCGATATTAGAGAATAGGACGATATGACTTTATAGAAACAAGTAATATGTACCGATTATCAGAATTATCGCAGCGAACGAGTTCAAAAAGGCTTCATATTGTGTCGAGCAACTGAAATTAATTCTATTGTTTGTCTTCTCTACGAGTGTAAAAGGGAAGCGACGAGATATAACACAATGATTTAACCTACATGGCCATTTGAAAGTCCAAATAATTAACACCTTTTAAACGAGATTAGTGTTGGTCTCAAAAGATTCTACTGCCACTTAAAACATATATTGCTGTTGACTGATTATATGGCGACCATTGGGTATTCTTCAGATACGGTCCGGGGGGGGGGGGGGGGGGGGGGGGAGGGGGGGGGGGTAGTTGTAGGGTGTTTGTGCACAATCGATTATTTTAAGTCATTGCGATGATTGATCATATTTTTTTAGATTATTTTAGAATTTTAGACAATGCCTCATTTTTCATTCACAACTATTATTGCCAACATTTTTACTAGTTAGCTCATTTATTTTCAAATTGTCTTTAGAAAGACTTTTTTTTTGGTAAGTTTATATGTCAAGTCATTAATTTTCTCTCCCTGGAATATCAAATAGTCGTCCCATAAATTCGGGACCAATTGAAATGAGGACAATATTTTGGGTATATAACTTGGTAGGAAAAATTACGAGAAAACATGTTTTGAAAAATTGGTTGTTTTTAACGATGGAAGATGTCTTGTTTTCTTGTCTCGGGGTTGAAAGAGGAGGGTAACCTTTACCAAACAATCTTTCAACCCATGTCATGTACTAAATTGATGGCATCATGTGTTAAACAGTTATCAACCAACGGTATATGTCAGTAAAACTGCACAGTTTCGGTGACTCTTCTTGGCCGGACGACGTCATTTTATAATTGCCACCGACTGAATTGTTCAACAACTATATTACTTAAAAGTCATGCAATTTTGTATTTTCGTGATCAATAAAAAATAAAATGAGCAAAACAAATCTAATTTTTTTTTTTTTTTTTTTTTTTCAATTTTTTTGAAAAAGGGGGGGGGTCTTCAAACGATCTTCAAGGGAACATTTAGGGATTGCAGTTAGAATAGGACCATTGGTCTGGACAGGGTGGTAATCTTAATTTCTGTAGCCACATTTCTCTATTCTTTCCGTGTTCACCCATTGTTCTTTATTCTTTATATATTAGTACCTCATACATGTCATTATTCTCTATAATTCTTAAAAGTTTCATTTAAAGGCCATTTTAATTGTGCTTCTTTTTCCATCCAATTAATTATGTATCATGGAGTCAATATTCAAAGTGGGACGTTGTTATGAAGTCGCACAGAAAAACGGACATGACTGTGTATTCATACATCCGTACAACTAAACGAACACACATCAGCAAGAATAACTGGAAGGGCATATGCACCCAGTAATCATGGCATACTTCCTCATGTCTTTAATAAAACGCTCCCAAAAAGGTTAAGAGGTAGCTGCAGCTGTTTACTTATACCAAACAATCAGTATAGCCAGAAAGTCTTCACAGAATTTTAAAGGGTGAAAAATAATTTCGTCAAAACTAATCGAGGACGGTCATACATTCGGGAGTTACGCCGGTGTAAGATGTCTCTAGTAAGTTGATGCAGAAAAACAGAATATACGGGTTGTCTCCTTTGAAAGACATATATATCTGGTATCTAAGTCATGTGTTCCTGTTGCAGTCAAACAGACAAAGGACAGGAAACCAGTCTACTATACACTGTAATGATTAAACAATTCGTCATTGTAAACAATCGACCCTTAGTCAGACAACTTTAGTCGCTCTTGCTTTTAACGTTGATTATTATGATTGTGTTGTGTTTTTATTTACTATGGAATTCCTACCCAATCAGGATAAAAGAAATCAGTGAAGTTCTTATTATATTGAGAACCAAGAAATGTATTGGGTCTGGCAGGCCATTTATAATATATAGTCAATCCATTTGCTATCCATCCCATCCACCAACCGAAAGTTCCAACGGATGTTATCACGTGATTACAATTTGAAAGAATCGTGAAATCTACTTCTGGTTTATTATTAGTCAGCAATTCAATCTTGTAATTTTTCAAGTCTTTGTTTGAAATAACATTCTTTGATGTCCATTCTTTATCGTTGGAAGCAATAATAAATAAAATTGTTTTATTAAATTTCGAAGACATATAACGAATAGCGCTGGCAAAATAATTTTTCGTAGGAACATTGTAACCGCGTTGAAACTTTTTAACCATATCGCCGCGACGAACATGTATACCTACAGTTATGGTATCTGATCTTGAATGAAATCCGTGTTTTGATATCAAATTCTTGATTACGTTTTCTGAATAAGTAAGTAGATGACGTTTAAACACCAACACTTTTCTTATCCTGTCTTCGTATCCATGGAAATACTTCCAAGAATGCAAATAATGTCTAAGTCTATAATCACGTGATGAATTAAGTTCCCTGAATTTGCTGTCGTAAGCACAACACCCAAACTTCTCTGTTATAATCGGCATTTTATCACAAATATGTCTGCTGTTATGTTTTTGTATATTCTTGTCCTTGATATCAAATATTGTGTTAAAGAGGTCATTTTCTGTAATAACGAGTGTCATGTTGAGATGGAGGGCTATACCAAAAGCTGAAGCGAACTGAAATATTGCATTGCCAATTCCACATGTTCCGCATTCAAACATTGGACATATTTTATGCTTAACTTTAAATGTCTTCGGTTTCGACATTAACATTTGTATCCGGTTTTCAGATAGAGCATTTTCATCTGTCATATAGAACAACTTATATTCAAAAATTATAAAGAAAACTGCTGTAACTAGGGATATCACAATGCACCTACTACACCAACCATTATCTGAAATATAAAACAAAATGTTCTCAACAGCAACAGACTGTGTACTTACGGGTATAAAGAATAAAAAACCTTCACATTTCATATTTATCTGACTATCTAGTTAATAGGGATTTTGGTATTTAAAATGTTCTATCCAGCTCTGAAAGATTGGATACACTGGTGTAAGTCTGTCTGTCTGTCCTTCCGTCAGTCTATAAGCCACAAGAAATTTTTGGTGTACTTTTCTCAAGAACTATAAATTAAAGATTTCTTAAATTTCGAATCAAGTTTTATGTGAGCTGTGTAATGCATTTTCAAGTTCATCCAACTTTCTATCAAAAGGTTTCTTGTCATCTTACAAATGTAAGAAACTAGCCCTCACTCGACGTAACTCGCCGTAACAAGAAAGGATGGAGCATTCATTTATTAAAACGTTATTCTATCTTTTCACTTCCCTTAGAAATGTTGTTTACATAAAATGTAAAGAGTTTTTTTTAAATCATTTGAGTTGTAGACATAATATATTAACTTGATGGATGATAATTATATGATATATAATTAATGATTCAATCAAAAATAGAAAATCTAATTCTTCCATAATTTTCGACAAAGAAAGAAAATGAAGTATTTAGACAATTCGCATGAATCGTACAAGATATTTTGATAAACATGACAGTACCATGTCGTAACATATGAAATAGAGTAAATGTACAACTTTGGAATGGAGTGGCTAGGAATTTTTGTGTATAAACTTATCTCTCATTGAAGTGGAAAGTCATGCTGTAAAAAAAAACTAGGAACACTGCGAGGAAAAAAGGGGTTTTAATTTTTTAAAAAACACCCTCGGCTCCGATATCACGTCGTTGCCCCCTCCTCTATCCGGCCCCACCTCTACATAATCAAAATGATCTCTAACTCATCTCTCATTCCAGTCGAAATAACATTTGTATTCAACAATGATATGTATCAATTTTCTTTTTACACATTAGTTCTAAATGAATGAACCATTTAACAAAGAAAAAAGAAAAACCATTTAAATTACTCTCACTCGATTCTAAAGTCAACTCGTTAAGGTATATGAAAAAAAAAAAACCTGAAAATTGAACCATGCGTTTAAAGCAGGGGCATTTAGGACGAGATCTTTAAAATTATTAACTCTGGATTAAAAAGGTTTATGTGGACGTTAGGTTCATTATAAAAGCTTTCGTTTTAAAAAGATAAAGAAATTGTTTGAATTTTTAATGCTATTATTGACAACGAAAATAATAATTGTTATATCTATTTATTCCGGTTGTCTCGGAAACGAACACGACGCTCATGCATACAAACAACTTGGACCAATCGGATCCGGAGGTGAAGCACCTTTAGCATGTTTAGACTGACTACTGGGTGCTCTTTTTAGGAGACAGTATTTATTTAAACACCTCTCCTCTAGTTGTTCCATATCACATGCATGTAGGTATAAGGCCGTCGTGATTGTTCGGGCAGATGCCAGAGAAAAAATGCGAATGAGAGAGTTTTAACCGACTGCCGAAAGAGTAGACGGGTGTATTTGAAATAAAATATGTAATTTAATAATTAAAAACATATCGAGTCATTTGTTCGTTGTTCCGTCACCCAAGATCGCAAACTGAATGTTAATCTTTTCCTGAATATGCATGAAATATTTGCCACTGAACGTTAAACATTTCTAAATAGAAAATATTTTCACACAAATACTTACCATGCAATTATCCAAGTAAATGATTTATGGTAAGCAAATACCATGCATACTTGTTGGATTGCTTACATTTGCACATGTTTTACAAAGACAAATCAGTGAAAGCACTTCAAATTAGCTCCTTTTTTATAATATGACATTTATATCCAGAGACTGACTGCATGAACAGAACAAACACGCATGCATACATATACACTTATAATAATTTAAACCATTTGATTTTGATTTTAATGCATATGTGTTTACTCTTAAAGAAGCTCTTTGATGACAATTTCATGTGTGACTTATACTTTCGGTATCAATATAAAAGATGGTATGCCATATCAGTTGATATTTTATAGTGTGTCTTTCTATGTTGTGATGTTACACTTTGTTTCAGAAAAAGGGTGAAAGTTTGGTACCATTAAAACGTTTAAACCCGCTGCAATTGTTTGCACCTGTCCTAAGTCAGAAATCTGATGTTCAGTAGTTGTCGTTTGTTGATGTGGTTCATAAGTGTTTCTCGTTTCTCGTTTTTTATATAGATTAGACCGTTGGTTTTCCCGTTTGAATGGTTTTACACTAGTAATTTTTGGGGCTCTTTATAGCTTGCTGTTCGGTGTGAGCCAAGGCTCCGTGTTGAAGACCGTACTTTGACCTATAATGGTTTACTTTTATAAATTTTGACTTGGATGGAGAGTTGTCTCATTGGCACTCATACCACATCTTCTTATATCTATTGACAATGATACAACTATCCATAGATCAAAGGACAAAGTTCAATATAAGCAACAATGCTATTCGGCATTGACATTCCTGTCGTTGAAAGAACATGATTTTATAAACCAGTATCCATTTTTGTCCAATGACTATTTGCCAAGTTGATGTTCTGTGAAACATTTAAGTTCCATGATAGAAACCGACACCAACATTATACCAAGCATGCTCGGGTTAATATAAATAAAAGTGATGAAATAAAAGTAAAAACCTACCATTTTTGAAGATATTCATTATACCTAGCCTGACTATATAGTTATATTATAGACCTGTTAGTAAAACTTTGTGTATTTTAAAGTGTGTTTATACAAGGAATTTTCGTTTAAATATCTATTGTAAATATATTGTAAACGCCGACTAATTTTCAAATTATTTTTCATTGTAATAGTTTTACTATGACATTAGAAAATATGAATTAAAAAGTATGATTAAAGTCAATACTTTAAATAGTTTTAATACAAACACCTAAAGTAAGGTAATCTCTACGGAGTGTAGGTAAAGTTTAAAAATAGAAGTTTATATATAAGGAATATTGAATGATATTCATATCAAAGGATACTTGTTTTAAATGTAACACATTCCTTTCTAATTCTTCTTTGATAGTAAACTTTTTCAATTATTTTTTTACATGACCTTAGTGTACTCGAACTTGATCAAATCACAATTCAAATCGAACTTTAAGAGTTCAAATTGAACTCGAATAAAATTCAAGTTGATTGGAATAATTCAAAATCAGAGTATGAAAGGTAAGGAACATAATTTATGATCTCCAGGACATAAACATATCGAAGCCTCGTAATTTATGATCTCCGGGACATAAACATATCGAAGCCTTGTAATTTATGATCTCCGGAACATAAACATATAGAAGCCTCGTAATTTTCTATTACACTAACTTAATCGAACAAAGGACAGATGCGGTGAGGAATGTCAATTTTGATACTTACACAAGCAGAAAAAGCAAGGTGTTGATGCTTGGATGACATGGATTACAAAATAACAAAATGTAACATAAACAAACTGACTTTGAATGAGGGTTTTATGGTGGATTACCATTCTATGATAACGAGTTTCCTCCGCATGTAGAACCTCGTATCATTTGTGGAAGATCTGCCTTTGACTAGCGACGTCACTAGCAACGTTGGGTGTTAAATATATATCAATGTTTGTAATCGGCTGATATTAAACAGGCTGTCTTTTTTCAGCTTTTCTGACTTAAAGGGTCAGTGTGAGATTTTGCCATAACTTTGCGTCTGTCGTCGTTAATTATCATTAAAAGACTTCTCCTCTTAAAACTACTGAACCAACTGGAATAATTATCATTGAGGTATCTAGTTGTATATTTTTTAATTAATTACTAGTCTAAGATGTTCGTAAGTGGCCACTAATTAAGATACACATTTATTCGGAAAAACAACACATGCTATCCCGTTCGTTACAAGAGAGACTGTGTATGTTAAATACGACCTGAAATTACTATAGTCAGTATTACTTTTTCCCTATAAACTTTAAGAGACAAATCAAGTTATGGTTATTCTTTTTCAAAGATTTGTTGGCGTTTTCTTTTTTGATTACTAGACTTTTTTATGAGATCTCATAACAAATATATCAATTTGGATTTAAAGAATTGCGTTTAAATCTGACTATTACACATGATTTCGTAGGATAAATGTATGATTGGAACCATATGGCAAAACCAAAAGATATTTTTCATTCATCAAACGCTGCATGTTGCTAACTTGTAAAATTAGTTAAACGTCTTAATGTAATAGAAATATTGAAAAATCTAAATAAGTAAAAAAAACACATATGTAAACATATAAACAAATAAAATTGAAATCTTCAAAATATATTTCTTTGTATAATCTGTTAAATTTATAATCCAGATCATTCAAAAAGTTGTAGTTCTTACAGATAATCTAGTTTCATAAGTAATCATATAATAACAAATAGTTGACAATAGACATAATATTGATAACGGATACGCAATGTAAAATAGTCAACAAAAGAACTCAAATCAGTACTGACAAACATTGACCTGTGAGTAACTGAGCTGAGTAAGCTACAACTTTTGTGATTCTAGAAGCATATATCTAACAATTGACATACTCAGTCGATGTTCCTTTTAAAACAGTCCGTCTTCTATAATCTTACATAGCTTCTTGTAATCTTCCTCAGTGTTGTAAACGTTTGCTGTAATTCGTAAATAGGTTTGTTCGCCAAATACTACAGATAAATGGCAATTTTATTTTTGGTGATGTTATCCACAATCTTGTTTTGTTTGTTTTCCTAAAAAAGATGTTGAGAAGTTTATTTCCGTTCGAGTCAGTCTTTGGTCTCGTGAGAAACTGGAAGCAGTATAATTAATATTTTCGTTGAAAAAAATATTTTCATTAGAGAAAATCTTTGGTCTTTAGGGTAACCGGAAGCAAATTGATCATTATTCAAACAAACTATTAATTAGAATCAAACAGAGGCAATTCCCGAAATCAGCGATGAACTATCATGTATAACAGTAACTGGTACTGTACGAAATGTTT